ATCTATAATTGTCAATCCGTCAAGGCAACATAGAATACTTCTGCAAGGCTCTAGTCATTCAGTTTCCAGCCGATGAACTTATTGGCAAGGAAGAGTCTCTTTACCAAATTGTGTAGTACGTTTCTAGAAGCCCATTCAAGATCTTACCGTTTATGTAAAAGCGGCTTTTTGGTAAACGGATTACGATGATAATCATACTGTGCAAAACTTCATCTCCAACGCGATTTGCCTCTGAGGGCACATAATACTGGCGGTGGCATGAATGTGCTAGAAACAACCTTGACCCGTCTGTTCACACCTGAGCATTACCATTACGCCTCGGTGAAATTCGGGTGTGATTGGAGTAAAAGAATTTTTAGCTCTTAATCACAACCCACCCATTGTTTCTGGCAGCAGTCATCAGTGAGTAGACGCAACAAAAGCTAGTGTGTCGCTACACACGCACACACAAACACAAAGAGAATTGTGGACTCATATGACTGGTTGTATATGGTTGTATAATACGCCCAGGGACAGAAGGAGATCTGGGCAATATTCCTCAATTGCCTATCGTGTTGCAGTTAGTGCCTTGCCTCTGGCCAACACACGCGCATTCGACACCTGCGAAATTAACAGCGGTCGAAACTCACATTCAGCGTGCCCTCGCAACACCGCAACAAGTGAACTCTACTGAAAGGCATGGTGCGAAGACTAGCTGATGCAGCAGTTGCGAAACTCGACTCTGCATAGTCTGTACGCCACTAGCAATTACATGTTCTCACCGTTCATCAGGCTTCTACCTCCCGGGTCTCACCTCGCCGATCAATACAAGACAAGCGGTACGGCACGAGATAGAGGAAGACCGGCCGCTAAGGGTTTGGTGCGTGCACCCCATTTTGCCTATTTGAATTTTTGTTTGCTCTGGGTGTTGCTCAACCCCTCCGTAAGAGAGAGAGAATACTAGCTTCATTTAAGGTGAAAAATCATAAATTTTCAGCAAAAAATGGCTCCATTCACGGAAAGCAAAGGATAGGTTAAGTAATGGTTCATCGTAAAAGGTCATAATGTCATTGAGAGCATGCTAAATTATCAAGGCACAGTCAACATCCTGCAGTGGCCCCGGTAAGAATGACTTCTATTGTCACCTAACAGGACGCGGGAACGGGAACGCCCCACCCGCTTGAAATAGGTTACCTTGCGGTAAATTTTAGGAAAGGTAAATATTCCCTTGCGTTAACCCTAAAACTACCCCTACCAGAGAACTAAACTTAAATTTTAGCCCTAGCCCTACCCTAAACCTCAACCCCGCGGTAAACCCGCATCCAAGCCCTAAAGCTTAACTTACTCCTGACCCTAACTCCAATTCTGACCTCGACTCCCAACCTTAAACCTTACTGCAAAATTAACCTTAACCCTTGCCTTAATCCTGAACCTAATTTCGCCGGAATTTGGCATAAAACCACATATACTGTGGGCGATTCCTGCTTCCCATGTCCTCTTTTTGCGGCTATCTTTACCCTGGCCCTAATGTATAGCAAATCCGTTTCTGCTATTGCTTTCTGATCATGTCTCTGATGGAGCATTGACCTCCGGCAGAGGTCTTCTCTGATGCGCGGGTTCAAATGCCGCCAAACGCCTCGAGTTTTTTCACAATTGGGTCAACTCAAATTAAGCA